AAGTAGCATTCTAATACTCCTAGCCTTGAAAATGCCGAAACTTGCATAGAGTAATGACTACTAATTTTACTCATTTTATTGATATATAGTCATTACTCTATGCAAGTTTCGGCATTTTCAAGGCTAGGAGTATTAGAATGCTACTTAAGACGCCTGTAATCTAGAACAAATAAATAAAATTAAGCATAACTTTCATTTATTTAAAATTAAAAATAATTTTGCAACAATACAAATAATGAGAGAAATAAATAAAATGATCAAAACTATTAATTAAATAAAATAAATTAAAACTGAAATAATTATGACCATGTGTATTGTGATACATTTTCACGGTCCCTTTTAACAAGCAAGTAGGCGTAAAATGCGGTCAAGGCAATCAGGATAAAGCTGCATAAACCGGCGACCACGTTAAAAATCAGTTCACCTAGAACACCAATAATGCCCAAAATCACCATACTAATCACAATGCTTTTACTCTCTTTAATTATGGCGAGCAGCAAGATCATTTCAAACAACAGGCCTATGGTGATATATACTGCCACATATACGCTCACTATTTCTAATATTAATAAATTCAGTCAAGATGAAATATATTGAAATGATTATTTAAACAATATAATTTACTTATCGCCATATCAATAAATGTATCATGGTCTTTGTCGGCACTAGGTCGATTGTCGATTGATGTAGTGCTGTTAACTTGTGCCGACGCTTGCATCAGTATAATCGTGATAAATATGGCCACAATTGCGAAGAATGTGAGCACCAAAAAGTGCAATATGATCAAGGTGATTTTCACGCCCCGGAAACAACTTTCTGACTCCAGACATTCACCGCAATCTCTTTTGGACATGACTTCTGGTCACACTATAATCAACCGATTATTAATTTAAGTATTATTAATATTCTGTCAAACTATATACAGAATATTCTACAATATTATACCAAGAGAAAAATTTAGAGAAATCTAATTAGATTAATGTTTTAATATTTATTAGTAAATTATAAATGTGGTGTGTTTTGTATCATACAAATTATGTGGCAAATGAAAGTGTTGTGAGCGTAGGTGAAATGCAAATAACTATTTAAAATAAAACTAGAAATCATGTAAAGTGATGGGATGTCTGGGATTGTTGTTATAGTGTGTGCCAAAGGATGAGAGAGAGCGAGAGAGAGAGAGAGAGAGAGAGAGANAACTATTTAAAATAAAACTAGAAATCATGTAAAGTGATGGGATGTCTGGGATTGTTGTTATAGTGTGTGCCAAAGGATGAGAGAGAGAGAGAGAGAGAGAGAGAGAGAGAGAGAGAAGTGGTAATGAAAACAAACACATAAAATGCATGACACAAATTATAAATAGTTTATAAATAGATCTGAACTTTAAAATCATATAATTTTCTCAGAAACAGATATAAAGTATAATAATGTTTACATAAGTTTTTTGATTTTAAACATAAATACTCATATTGGTACAAGTAACTCATTGATTTTATATTGATAACATAATTTAACTATAAACACATGATAATGTTTACAACAAATTATTTGAACAATTTAATAAAAGTTTTCAATTAATAAGTTATTCAACAAAATATTTTATTAAATATAAACTAATTTTTGAATACAGTTATTAACGATTGCGCAACATGGTGTAGTAAATTATTACAGGTATTATATTAATAGCCATAAATGTTACAAACAATAGGAAAAGCCCTCGTCTTCCGGGGGCTGAATGGCCGCCACTTTGCGATACCGACACCGCATAACACGAGCCGCCGATTTGGGCTGACGTTCGCGAGTGAAGATACCTTTCTTGTTACCGATCGCACGATTGGTCGCTAATTATGGGACAAAATATTTACATTAATCATTGTTTTGTCGAGAGAGAGAGAGAGAGAGAGAGAGAG